CCGGTGCAGGCGAACTGCACGCTCCTTTGCTCCGAAAGCTCCCTCCCCCAGGCCTGATTGGAGCAGCCGCACCACCTCTCTTCGTCGTCCTGCAGTCGGAGCTTTGAGGGATGAAAACCTGGGAACTTTTCGTAACTGCGAAGCATGAGGAGCACCAGTTGCTTCCTGACAGGGCGAACCGCAGCCGTCATAGACGCCCCACTGGGGCACCTGGCTTACATGTGCTTGCTTGCCCCATGATCCGGCATCATGGGGAAAGGGTCAAATGAGTTCAGAGCATCCAAGACTCACTTCGACCAAAAAGAGCCCCTTGAAAGGGGAAGCAAACGCACACAGGCTTCTGCCGACTGAGGCCTCCTTCTCGTGGAGGAAGCCTGCAGCAGTGAAGGCATGGCCCAGGGGCACCTGCAGGCGTCCAACAGAGAGCCCAAGGCGGCATCTGCTACTGACGGAGCATTCGGAGTTGCGCTGATGTTTGCGCCATGTCTCGTCTTAAACTTCACATGCCTCAAAAAGGCTTCGAGCTTGAGCAACCCATTCTCAGGTGCCGACACCGTGCCGCGCCATGGCGAAGTAGGGCACCTGCATGCTGGGGCGTGGAGGCCGCGTGGACTTGATCGCCCCGAATTTGCTCTCCATGCTCTGACAAAACTTTTTGCTGCGAGCACCAAACATTGCTGCACAGAGGTGTCGTGGCACCCGGAAATCCTGAGAGCGGAGGCAGCGAGCCGCAGCCTCGAGTGTGTGCTGCACTGAGAAGTGATGATCCAGGGCTGGAGGCTGCGAAGGCTCACCACAAGCACCTCAGGCTCAAATGGCTTGGCCTGACACCACGGGCAAGAGACCACAAGTGGTCCCAGAACTCTGCCCCGGCAAGAATTAACAGGAAGTCGGGAGAAGAGGAAAGCCCCGACCTTTTGCAAACAGAGACTTCGCTAACCTTTCTGCTCAAAGCCCGTGCATCTACTGACGAGACCCGTCTCTGTATGCAGAATGGCTGTCCTCTACAACAACCATCTCTAAGCGGTGTTCGTGAGACTTCAAATCTGTGAAACCATTCGCGGCTCAGCTTGTCTCGCTCATGCACCGTTCAAACAAGCGGCGCGCAAGCCGCAAGCGAGCACGTCTTCGAAATTGCGACAGCTGCCGCTGTCCGAATCTCGGGCGATGCGATAAGAAAGTAAGGCGATGAGTTTGGAGGCACTCCGAGATTCGCAAACTTGGTCCTCACTGAGTCATCTGAGCGCGCTCACAGCACATTCGAATGTAGGAGGCCCACCTCAGCTTCGAAGGCCAACTTCAGAGCTGCCGTGTCCCCGTCCCTGGGCTTCCGCGCGTCTCTGCCGCTGCAGACTCCTCGCAGCGAAGGGAGCACCTGCGGGAAAAAAGCGCGCACACGCCTCCCTCGGGGCCAGGACTCCGCGCGCCTCCGCCTCGGGAGTCTCAGAACCAGAAGAGTGTCCTCCACGGTGATATCGGCCACCTCAGCTCGCAGGCGCAAAGGAACAGAGGTTTTTCGGCCTTGTAGAGCTTGATGAGATCACTTAAACCTTGAAGCCCGAAGGCCTGAAGGAGCCGGAAGGACTCAGTCGGCTTCTCACGGAGCCGCCAGGCGCCGGAAGACTGGGAGCAAGGATACGTGCAGCTGAAGCGCTTGGATGCTCAGGCTAGATCTACGATCGACTCGAACACCGATCCAGATTCCGTGTTTTGCACTCACAGGTTGTCATAGGTCTCGTGTCGTCGCTCTGTCCACTCAATCTCAAAGACGTTACCTGAAAGCACAAGAGTTTGGAGGGGCCTTGAACATCTTGAGGGACGTGGGCGTAAGCACGGCCCACCTCAAGATGACGCAGACACTCAGATTTCATGGTCGCAGATCTGCGTTGTGGTCTGGACATCCCGACTTTGCAGAGTCACAAATGCGGCTGCCGCAGTAACATATCCCGCGAAGAAGCGTGCTATTCATGATGATCAACACCACCAGCATCATCATCAGCACCCTACAGTCTGAATCGCATCCCTGGCAAGCGTGCACGTGCTAGCACACAAACACAAGATCCAGTTGCTCTGGAAGCAATGCTCAAACAATCATCATCACATCATCTACAACGACATCATCATCATCATCAGCAGCAGCAGCATCATCATCATCATTATGATCATGATCGCCAATATGTTCGAACTCTTGGTTGAATCAGTCGAATACCCGGAGGAGGTGGTCGTTGTAGTCCCGTGAATGTCGTCGTCCTCCTCTTCACCATAAGTCGTCCTGCTCCTCATCTTCATCCTCCCTCCTCCTCCTTCATCCTCGTCCTCTCTTCGTCGTCGTCATCCTCCCGGGTCTACATCACCATCGAAAGTTGTGGACGTGTGCACGATGTGAAACACCATCGCCCAAACCATCAGCACCATGTGACTGTAAGAAAGGAACATTCAGCGAGATACTTGACTAGACCCGGTATCTTGGCATCTTGGCGCTGTGCCGCACCCGCCAAGCCCCGATGTACTTGGAGCGCTTCGTGAGGACCCCGGCGTGCACCACCTGTACACGTCCCAAGGCGGTGCTATTTCGCAGGCAATGGCGTGTGGCATAACATGGCACCTTGCGCTGTTTTCTGAGCCATTGTACCTCACAGTGTGCCTGGCAAAGCCTCTCGATCTGACACATTAACCAAACGTCCGGTGCAATGCGTGGCTGTTGTACTTTTGATAGCCAAGTAGGGGGAAGAAAAGGTTGATGCTCCATCGTATCTTGTACGGCCGGTCATGTACCACATTGAATACACGACGTTATTGCACATTTTTGCATGCCTATCTTCGTCAGATAAATTCTCACCAACTTGTAAGCATAAACCCAGACTGTGGTAGGGACACCACGCACCAGAAAAGCTTTCTTCGTCGGCTTTCGGCATTTGGGGACCTAGCTGAACAGCATGCTTCGCGTTTATCGATTCGCATTCTTGCACCGCATTATCATCCACTCTTACACTGACACCAGCCGTCCTACGTAAGCTAACGTGTGAGTGTGACGGAAGGAAGGGTTTAGGTTTACGGCTGTTCCATTCTGCTTTGACATTGCCATCTCTCATCTCGCTCCTCTGCTTTGCTGCTTCTAGTCGGCCATTCAAGCAGCGATTAACAAACCAGCAAGCCATCGTCACATGACCTCTTCGAGTCTTGACTTGAGCACCGAAGGCCCCCTTCCCGCGGATTCGACACATCGGGCCTGCTCCGCCAAATGCCTTGGGGGGGCATCGTGCATGACGTCCCTTGCTCTGCCTAATTCTGCCTCTCATTACCCCTTTCTGTCGCTTCTTGCAATCGTGGCGCCTGGTGCATAGATGCTTTCAGCTCTGCAACTCCAGTAATCTAGTACAGACGTGATGTGCGTCGAAGATATTGCTCGCTTCCAAGCGGCGCCAGGCTTCTCGGGGTCAGCCAGTCGCAGATGCGGCGGCAAGCGTTCTGGCAAAGGCCGCCTCGCTCCTCCGCCTCACGGCGGCTCCGAAAGTTCTACCAATGTTTTTGCTGCTGGGCTTTAGATCTTTTTTGTTGGGAGATCCGGGGCTCAGAGGGCTCGGGCTCGACACACCGGGCGCCTGGGAGGAGGAGCTCCGCTGGCACTGGAACAAGGCCTGCACAGGACGCCAAGAAGTCACCGGAGATTGAACTGGGCGGCTAAGTCCAGAGCCCCGAAGAGGGCACTGGTCGTCAGGTTGCCTCGCCAGGATCGTGGCTCCTCGTCCTACCCTCAAACACCTCTGCAAAGACACGAGGGATCAGCAACGCGTGCCGGAGCCGCATTCGACCACGTCCGACTCGGAAGTATCCGAAATGAAGCTTTCGGCAACCTCCTACAGGGACGGATCTTGGAACATGCTCCGCAACACAGCTCCGGGAGCAGGGCCACTTGGCCGAGGCCGTGCCGATGACTTCTAGAGCGGACATGCACATGGATGCCGTAGGTAATGGCTAAGAAGGTGCCATCGTACTCCTAGCACTGCCCTCTCAGCAAACAAGGTCTACAAAATCGTGCCAGTATTATGTGGATAGACACTGCACGTCAGGACTGGAGACGGACTGACTGCTCCAGAGATCGGGAGTGGGGCACGATGTTCACTGCAGCTTTCAATTCGAGCATTGTGGCTTTAGCCCCATGACGCCAGCTTCCGGCCAAACTGCCCTTTGGAAGTGTTGCGAGGTACCTCGACCTTGCATATAAATCCTTTGCCCGACAACGCTGCGAATCGGAGACCTCCAAACCTGCTTCTGAATCGAGTCGCAAACCCTCCGCAAACCCACCACACCTCGGGGACGGTGCTGGTGCCCGCCGCGGGTAGGGGAGCGGGCAGCTGCGTGCTTTCTGCAGAGGCACGGAGGCTGAAATCGACATGCGTAAGGTGGACTCCTGTGGCTTCAGCTCTTCGGGATTGAGGGGTTCCTAACTGTTGGGCTCGCAAGATGCAGGAAGGCCTCTGCGAGAGCCGAACTTCTTGAGGGCCGCATCTTAGCGGAGATGGTAGCCGAAGCTTCAAGGGTCTTGGGAGGAAGGGCCAGCGAAATCCCTCATCACAGCGGAGAACCCGCCCTCGCACGGGACGAAAACAAGAGGGCCCCGGGCTGCGCTGGATGAGACCTCGGGGAGAAGGGCAGAACGTCTCTCACCGCGGATGCGCTGCTCCGCTCTGCTCTGAGGCAGCAGCCATCTGCAAGCTGAGCCTGAGCTACAAGCGGAGGGCCCCGCCCTACACCAGTGCCCACATCACATCCCTGCCTGAAATTTGGGGGGGGGGGGTTCCAGAGGTCTTGGGAAGGACCACGCCACCCCCCAGCTTCGAGCTCGAGCTCGTTGAGGCTGCGGCAAGAGGCAGTGATGCCCGTCGAGGGCTTTCGCTCGCCTCACGTGCAACCAACCACAAAACCCGGACCATGGCTCTGGAGCCAAATTCCAGCACCGAAAGGACCAAAATCCGGAACCTGCGAGGGCGCATCCCCGACCACGTTGGCGGCATTGGTTGGCGAGTCTGCACAGGGCCAAGAGGTGCGACCGGAGGTCACTGTGCACAGTGGGCAACTTCCGGTGCTCTCGCTGTCACACCATTTGGGACATGCCGGCTTCCTTCGCCTGAAGCCGCAGACGAGTGGCTCGCCTGCAAAGCCAAGGCTCTTGGCTGACTCTCGTCCGTACAAGACATGCGAAATTCAGCACTCCCGCCTGCACGAGAGCATCGGAACCGTCGGAGGAGCGACATGGAACCAGCATGCCACCCGACAGACCGAAATTAGTTGGAGCTGAAGCAATACACGTGTGTCAGGCCTTGCTACTGTCGCTATGCTCCTTCGGGCTCTTGAAAGCCAGCACGTGAAATGCCGAGCCACCACTGACTACTGCGAACATGGCTGCTCGCGTTACATGTGCGAGCGCGAGGCTATGGCTTCAGCCTTTGTCTTTCAACATACATTCTTATCATGTCCAAGCCAGCTGCACGGCGGTCCAATTCGCAACACACGGAGCTCATGGCACTTGAGCAGACACACCCCGAGTCAGGACAAACACTTGACAAATGTTCTGCTGCACCGAAAGCTGAGGAGGGTACATGATCGGTCTCCGCATGCCAGTACCTCGTGCAGTGCGAAGGGCTGCGACTCCAACGGTCAAAGGTCGAGAAACGTCCACAGATCACGCAGTCCCGAAGCTCACATGGCTGCAAAATTCGCGGCGTTTTCTTCACCGTAGTATTTCAGCTTCACCTGACCAGCATTGGGTGGAAGAGACTTGTGTGTGTGTGTGTATATATATAGATGATACTGCCACTGCAAGCCCCAGAGCCTGCTCCAGCTGTGACTCAGCGAAGCAGCCGACTAAATTCACGACTGCATCCTGTGCAGCTGGAACTGCAGGAACTGCCAGCGTCACTCGCTCGGACGACCCTTCCAAGCCGCAAATGAAGTGAGCTCCGCAAGTAATTTTAAAGGCAAACGTAGAGAGAAACTTCGGGTCTGCTGCCAAGCGAGAGCCTCGGGGACTTGTCTGGCCGCCGGGAGATGGTTCCTGTCTGCAGAGCACACGGATCACACGGCACCGGCACCGCTGCACTGGGCAGGTTGGAAAGAGCTCAAGATTGTAACCAGGCGAAAGAGCCGAAGAGCGGGCAGAAAGGTCGCTGGTGATTGCGCCTGGTTTGACCTCGTCTTACCGATGTCTCTGTCCCTGTCTTGTGTGGCTGCTCCCAGTGGACGTGGCCAGTGCCTTTCTTACTCATGCCTTTGCCCCGATCCTGCTTGTGTGGCTTGCTCCTGGCGACTAAACATGGTGCCGGTCTTACCGTTAGATTTCTATCCGGATCCTGTTTGCGAGGGCTGCTGCTGGCGACTGCGCGCGGCTTGTGCTCTTCTTTCGGAATGCCGGTTCCTGGTAGAGTACGACGACGAGCAGACACAAAAGCAGCAGGAAATGGTGGGAATCACATTCCTCAGAATGCTGAGCACCCCTTCGACATCCCTTCCGAAGCAAGTCACTGCAGCTTCTGCGGCATTGATGGGAGGAGTCGGATGCCAGCATATGCCAGCTGCTACAGCTCATCCAAACCACACGTGCCGCCACATGTCTGAGACTTGTTCTCCCATGATGCCCTGAAGCTGTGTGACACTGGCAGGGTTTGTCCGAAAGCGCTATTGCTGGGAGAGTTCTACCTCAGCCTGAAAGCAGTGAAAGCTCGCTGCAAGCGGAAATCCCTTGCCTCGGATGCATTTGGTCCAACTGTCCGAGGACCTGTCCAGTTGTCAGAAGCTCATCTCAAAATTCGTCCCGTACTGCGCGGAGATGAAACAAGCACAGATGTGGATTCAGCCGTGGCCGCTGTAATCGCAATCAACACCGGCCTGACCCAAGACATCCTCGAGACCTTGTCGCACATGCTTTTGCGAGCTTACTTACGTGCAGGACTATGAACCTTGCAATATGCAGTGTCAGCATTAGGAAAGTGAATACATTGCTTCAACTGTCAGTAGCGCATTATCATCTGGCCTGTCTCCGGAGATGCTGCACGTGTGAGGAAAGAAAACTCACCATCTCGCAGCGTTCTGCCTCGCACGCGTGCCTGCCTTCCATGTGCAACCGGGCCGCCCATGGGTCTCCGGGCCCGCAGAAAGCCCTGAGGCCCACCCTGCACAGTTTTTTACATATCGGAGAGGGCGTTTTAAAGAAAGGCACATGGAGCCCGGAAGTCTTTGCGAAATCCGAAATCCGAAAGCGCGCTTGTTTTAACCTCATGCAAAGAGTTCGGGCTGTTTGCCGCTCTCAGCGGAGGAGTGGCAAGGACGGCCAGGAGTCGACCTCCCAAAGCAGTCTTTTGGGCTCACCGTGCATTGAAGCTTTAGAGCCTGGGGTTGAGGTCAGCGTTTAAAGTCTCGGGTTCACGGTGTAGTGCAGAATCTCACCGTAAGCACCCGCCCCGAGGCATTTCCATGGCCTCCCGCCGGCAAAACGCAGTGACAAGTGCACCTCCGCAGATGGCTGCAGTCTCTAGCTTCACTAAACTTATGATTCCAACCATATGACATTGGTGTTCTGCTGTACACTGTCGACAAGCTGAGAAAGCCCCGGTTGGCCCTACAAGCAAACATAGAAGACCTACCATGCAATCAAGTCGGCCTCCTCCTGCTTCGCTCTTCGGTCTTGATTACTTCCCCATGAAGAGTCAAAGGTATAGGGCTAGTGCAGGCCGCCCGACAACGCAAGCACTGCCTGAGAATACATGCGCTCACGCTGCCACAGTCGCCGGAGCTGTAGCCTGCAAAGAGGCGCGGCGCTGCCACACAGGAGTTTGCACCACGGAGCTGGGGGAGGTAAGGACGGCCCGGAGGCTACATAGTAGAGCTGACCCCCTGGCGAGAATGTCAGTTTTTGTCGAACGAATCCTCTTAGCCGCAAGGGTTATGAGTTCGATGGCGAAGTGTCTTCGTTCCTGGCCTCCTCGGCTTCTGCTGCGGGGGCTTCCTCAACCTGACACGCGTCTCTGGTAGGTCTTTGATGTTCGGGGATGAGAATGCTGCCCAGTCTTGCAGATGCAGATGAGGCCATGAACTCAGAGGGAGCGACTTGGTCAGCCGTGCTGAACAGACTTTCATGTTGCAGGACCAGCAGAGGTGGAGCTTACAGCTTTTGTCTGCATGGCCTCTTCACCCCGAGTCTTTCGATGTGTGTGCGTTTGCCGCAGGTCGCATAACTCCCAGCCTCCACTGGTTCTTCTACCGAAGCTGCTTCACCTCCCAGAGTGTTCCGTGCATCTAGAGAGCAGCACCCGCTGTACTGTCGTTCAACCCTTCCGGACTCCAAAGACCCACAGCTTTAGACAGGCCCATGCCTAGGATCAAGGCCGCATCCTTCTCGCCTGCAACGTAGAGCTCAAATGGTGACAGCACGGGCCATGAGCAACGAAGCACCGGCCTGCATCTGGGAGCACCTGACAGCGTGGCGGTGCAGGGACAGAACGCAGTGCACTTGTGAGCCCTTGGAGATGTCCCAAAAACCCCGGAGATCCATCCGACGAAATCCCAAAGCGAAGGGGCGAAGACGCGGCACCTCCAAGCTTCCCGCTGGCACAGGGAGGGTGATCGGAGCGCCTGCCAGCGACTGCTCCCACAGGCGCCAGGCGCGATTGCAGATCTTACGCACAAGAAGCCTGCCCGAAATGACTTTAACAGACAAACACTCGCAACGTCCGCAAGACACTGGCTACCCACAAGTGAACCTCTCAACCGGCACCAGCACAACCCCCCCCCCTCGGTATACGGTCTTCCATGCTCCTCTACAAGGCAATGAGATACAATGAGATACGAAACAGAACGGCATACCGTAGATGCGGCTGGCCTGCATCCGCTTTGGGGACCGAGGCGGCCTCTGCATAAGAGGTGCGAGATGTCATGGGCCAGTCAAGGGCAGCCCCGAGCCCTAACCCTGGCCATGGTCGGTGATCCAGAGCCCCGCCGTTCCAACTTCCCAAAGATCTCTGGTGAGCGTGAGCGGAGAGCGCCGCGCCTTTGGGGCCTCCACATCCACCGCCCCACGAGGAATGAAGATGGGTGCCTGAACCGTCGTGGCAGTGCTTGCAGGATACGATCTGGGACTCTGGACTCTCGCAATGACACAACGCTCGAAAACGGCCGGAATGTCCAAACCCTGATCAATTACGCTCGCACTACTTACTGAGGTAGAGCGCCGGCTGCATATACCGCATATACCTCTTGGGCAGGAAATCTCTCACCTGGATTGGGGTGCAGGCGAAGCCTCTGCATTGAAGCTGCTACCTTGTCCAAGGGCAGCCTCCGCAATCGCAATGCGAAGTGCGACAGTCCGCTGCTTCAGAGACCGCAGCAAGCTGTCACTGTGACCCCGGCCTTCTCCAAGTGCGCTCGGACTTCCAGCTCGCTCGGCAGGTCTCCATCCTGCGACAGTCCACGCATGCAAACGAAGGAGCGCACCGAATGAAGTGGAAAAGACTGGACTGGATACCGCCAGCTGCTACAAGTAGGGAGCAGTCTGCAGCATGTGCGCCTTCTTCCCGGGCTTCTTCCTGAGAGCGAAGGACGAGTGACACGGAGAGGCCTCTCGTAGCGCGCGCAGTCTGAGATCCAGGCGGGACCGCAGCGGCCGGTGCCGCCGACAGGCCTCCGCAGCTGCGAGAGAAAAGCAGCAGAGGCCAAGTGCGCTGCTGGTGACACAGCTGGAATGTGCTTCCACAGCTCAGAAAAGCTTCAGCGTGACCACAGTCTCCAAAGAGCCTGGTGGCACCGCGGTTGTGCCAAAACCAGGCGCCGCCGGGAACATCTGGGCCGCCTGCCGCAGAGTCGTTTTTTTGGAGACTTAGGTTTGACGAGAATCCCAGATTAATTTTGCATCCCAATTGATAGCTCCGCTCCTGCGTCTCCAGCTGGGTGAGGCGCTCGGTCAGGGCATCCAGCGCCCGCTGCTTGGCCTGGGCTCAGTGCCCGCGGCGGGGGCCCGCAATAGCAGTTCCCATTCGATCTGTCGTGAGATGGATCACCCAGACCGGGGCCAGCGCGGCGCCGGCACGCAGCATTCGGTCCACTTTGTCGATCTGCGCGTCAACCTGTGGGGCTTGACTTTGGCCTTGAGCTGACAGTACTGTGCTAAACCGACGAGGATGAGTGCTGAGGACTGCCCCCGAAAACAGCAAAAGCTGCTGACAGCAACCGAACGCGAAAATTGACGTCGACAAGAAGCCAAGACTACTTCTCGCAGCACCGGGAAAGGTTGACGATCGGCTATTGTGCGCAAGAGTGTGGCCAGCAACCTATACTGTAGTAGATGGCTGTCGATCGCCGAGCTGTCCCTACCCTACGTTGCCCTACATGTCCTGTGATCGGCGACTGCTGCGGTGACAGAACGAAGACAACTGCCGGCTCTCAGCTGCCTGGTCGGCCTTTGGGGCCGGCTGGCTGTCCAACTTCCGGCGTGCCTGGGCTTCTGTATCTCCGCAATCTGCTTCAGCCCTCGGCAGTTGAGTCAGATCCTGTCAGGCCTCGTCCAAGGCGTCTCGGTGATGACGCATGAGGTCCGAGTTGTGGTTGTGAGCGAGGATAGTTCGATGAAGGTCCTGCATGACACGGTCATCCTATCAGTCCCGGAAGGAAAGCCCTGCCCTCCTGCCCGACTCTGCGTCATGGGCCTGCTTCAGGGCCTTGACCTCGGATCCCCACTTCTGCTCCAGCTGCTTGATCTTCTGACCTGCGGAGTGGCTTTTCCCCCCCCCCCCTCCCAACAAGATTCGTGGCAGCAGGCTTGGGTCAGGACTCAAAAAGGCACGGTCCACAGTCATTGCCGGATCGACTCCAGGGGCAGTGCCTGCAAAGAGTCAACCCAAACGAAAAAGGCAGGCAACTGAGACCAATCCAAAACGTCACTAGCTTTCATCAGCATTCTCGTCGAAAAAGCCGTCGTCTGGACCACTATCATCACGACCATCACCATCGGGACCATCAAGCCGTCCACTCACCACCACTACTGCCTCCGCCGGCACGACTACCACCTCCTAGGCTGCGCCGTGCCTGAACCTAGAGGCGCATGATTTCTGCCGCTGCCGCTCACCCTCCAAACCATAATCAAAGGCACAAAAAAACCTGATGAAGCAGAGTAGAAGCAGCAGCAGCAGCAGTCGTCGTCGTAGCAAAAACAACAGCTGCAGCAGCAGCAGCAGCAGAGAAAGCGATAATCGTCCAGAAGCCATCTCAGCTTCGAACCACTTCTTTCCGGGCCTCCCGAATTTAATCGGACGCAGCGGGTGACACGCTCCGACAGCTCGGTGATGTGTGACTGCCAGGCCAGCGAATGAGAAAACTCGGTAGGAAGCCCGGGGGGAAGCTAGAGCTAGAGACTCGTGATAGGATGTGCCGCTGGCAACAGATCGCCACCAGCAGTGTGTATTGCTGCATGCGGGGGGGACCTCCTGCTCTCATAAAGGCTCCTCCCTGAAAGGCCTCCATCTGTGTCAACTGGCTTCTGGCGACATTGAGCTCGTGCCTAGCAAGGCAAATCTACCAAAGTCCTTGATCGGTTCGTAGAGCGGGGGAAGATAAGACAGTTGCAGCACATGCCGACTTTAGACCCCTCCATGCCGGCCCGTCGTACCTCACCCGGGCTTCTGAGTCTTTTTTGGCTTGCAGAATCATCTGCTCCACCTGCGAACAGGAAGCGAAGCTGTTGAACAAGCTCCTCAAGGCACCCGAGGCTGCAAAAGCCAGCTCAAGGCCAAGGCCACAGAACATCCTGAAACGCTGGTACCTGCTGGCCGATGGCCGTTGCAACGTCGCCATGTAACGACCTCCGGTCCAACGGCGGAGGCATCGACTTTAAGAATACACTCGGTTCATTCCCGCGTTTGGGCCAGCGTGGCAGACGGGGTGTCCTTACCTGAGCCGCTGGCATCCTCCCTACGCGGAGGCAGCCGAAGAGAGAGCTCCCCTCTCGCGCCCCTCGCGGCCCCTGTGGGTCCCTCAATGCTTGAGCCGTTCAATCGGCTATGGAAAGAAGTAATTACCGTGATCCTTCTTCACCACGGTGCTGAAGATCGGCAGTGTCATCGTCATCGTCATCGTCGTCATCATCATCATCATCCATCGAAGTCCTGCTGCAAATGCACAGCCGCTGCTGCCGCTGGCGAATGTAACATTGCATCAGTGGCCAATGCAATGCATTCATGTAAGGATGCTGCACATCGCCGTCTGGCAACGAACAGCTTCCAAGTCTTTGAATGTGCCTCTAACTCGAAGTCTGAAGTCTTCTACCACCGCTCTTCGTCTCGGCCCCTTGTTGAGAGACCTCCGCCCGCCTGGAGGGCGCCCATGTTCCCGACCAGCAACGGCACCCCGCTCCTGTTCCCGGGCTGAGTTTCCACAAGTGGCAAAAAGGTACAAAACATGCTCTGCCTATGACTCCCAGCGTCTGAGAGCCCGGCCGCAGCGCTTGAAGCGCTGGGGGCAGCATGTCCTCGGCAAGGAGACTGAGCCTTTCGTTGAAGATGAAATTGGTAGAGGCGCTAAATTTGAGCAACGACTCGTTGTGGTTCAGAGCAGATCACCCTCCAACCGACTCAACAATCAACCTAACCACCACGTGAAACGGGAAGGAATGTCAATTCCTAGTACCCAGCTTCGTCCACTTAGCTCTCAAGGACTTTTGGTTCGACTTCCTCGCTTCCCGCTACATGATGATACATACGCATTTTCCCAGTCACTCTCATCGGCACTCTACCCTGAACTTCAGAAAGGTCTTGGGTACTGGGAGACTCTGCTTGCAGCCACGAGGCATCCATCCCGGCATTCTCTTCGCCGTCTGACTCCTTCCCACGGATCCAGACGAGAACACTTCCAGTTCTGCCCCTTCCGAGAGTTACTCTTGGCGTTGCGGCGTCTGCCTAGATCCTCTATTTCTAGCAATCGGAATCATAACATCTCAAACTCAAAGCGTCGTACTGGCCAATGTCCTCTGCAACTGTCGCATTACTACGTGGGACGGTCACAGTCAGGTTGCCGGTGCCGGAGTTGTACCTCCCATATTTCAGAATGGCGATGGCAAGAGGAGGCAGGAGCAGAAGCAGTACCACAACAAGAAGTACAATCACCATCAACTACCACCACCACGACAACAAAAAACGACACGAGCAGCAACAACACAGATCCCCACGAACGTCCCCGGCAAGCAGCATCTTCCGAGACCTGCACACCGCGTCGCATCGAGGGCACGTGACAGAGACATGGCCCACGTCGGAGCCCTTCGGCAGCGAGAAGACGCGCTGGCAGGGCAGAAGGCAGGGAGCGCCACATGTTTAGACAACAGCACATGGATTCCGAGCCTGCCAGGAGCTGATGAGGGGCCCTTGCCGGTGGCGGCCACTGATCACCAGAGACCTGGCTTGCTAGGCAAAGCTGAGCAGCTCCAGATTTCTTTCTCTCCCCAGTTCTCGCCTGCCGCGGATGGCTCGCACGGACAGCGGCTTCTCGCTGGAAGCGCTCGCGGCACCGAACTGCAACGAGGTTGGTTTATCGTAGGTGTGTGTCATTGGGAGCCTGCGCTGGCCTCGTAGCCAGGGAGAACGGCAGAGATCACGATCTGAGTCTCGTGGTCATCGTGCACCTATCTTCGGAGCTGCCAAAGCTCTGCAATCAGCGCAATCTCTGATGCGGGCCGGACCTGGAAGCTCCCCTGTGCGAGGCCGACGTGTCCTCGCCAGTCGGAAGTTGTCTTTCGATGATCCCGGAGTCGCCTCGATGCCTACAGGGTCTCCTGCATGGTGGTCGCCGAACATGTCCAGCAGGCCACCAAGCTGCATCTGCATCTGAGCCAGAGCAGGGCAAACCAAAGACAAAGACGAACTCACCTGGAACAGTGAGCCTGCATCGGACGCGGCATCAGCGCCTGGCTCCCTACGGAGCCGCCCGTGACCTGAAAACCCATCTCGGCTCCTGCCACGTCTCTGCAGTCTCGGGCTTGGCCTGCTGTTGAAGCATCCTCTCCATGTTCTTGTGGAGGTCCTCGGCCGAACACCATAGGCGTAGAGTCAGAGTGGCAGAGCTTTACGAGACTGCAAGGCTCCTCCCAGGGGTTGTGGCCCATATGTCGTTCGACCACGATGACCTCGTGCGATGAACGTGACGAGCTGCTTTGGCAAGCGTTCCCGCACCGACTTCTGAGCCTATGGCCGGCGACCCAGCAAAGGCCAGGTGTGCACCGTGAGGCAGTTCGGGCGCCTGGCGCCCAAGATTCTTACCATGCTGCATTTCCCTCGTCTTGGGCCTTCACACGCCCGCCTTCTCGCTGCTCGCCGACGTCGCAGCATCAAAAGGCCAGACTGCCGCAGCCGGCCCTGGAGGACGTGCAAAAAATGCCGCGCGGGATTTTTACGGAGGCCAGGCCTGGCGACCAGAGGGCCCCCAGCCACAGCGCATGGCTTCTCCGGGGCATGGCAGCCGACAAAACGAAAAAGCGTTGCTGCTTTTTGTCCCACTAACATGCCGCGGAATGGAGGGGATATCACGCTTCTCAACATCTCTTTGACCTTTCGGAACTCCGAGAACCCCCCATGACGACACGAGCATCGATGCTGCTGGCCCTGATTGTCGTGCCCTGGGCTGCGAAAAAGGACCCGTGACCGAGCTCTTCATGAATGATTTGGTGCTCTCATGCAGCACCTGAGCCCCGAAGCTTAGGCAGCCAACGATGCATTTCGCAGGTTCAGCTCTGCTTGGCAGTACTGCGTACCTGCGGATTTCAAGCTTCCGAAGCAGACTTTGGAGGCTCCTCCTTCTCTAGTCCAGGCACGAGCCTAGCACCAAAAACAGCACAGGTTACACTAGAGCACTGGCCTGGCTACTGCTGCTACGGCATGTACTTTGAGCAGAGAAGGGTACAGTAGACAGCTACCGATTCGGCATGACTGGCGGCGGCTCCTTACTGCATGCAACTGCCACGCTCCGCTGAACGGACATGCCTGTGCTGTGTCTTTTTCGGTGCTCGTTACTACTCTGCCTCTTTCGCAGGGGCCGGGGATGGCCGGGGCAGGGGCTAGTGGTTCTTGCCGGCAAAGGTCCGAATTCGCTTCTCAAAGGCTTCGATTGCAGCGATCCGAGGGATTAATTGCTTAATTAGGGGCGAGCTGTGCCCTCAGGTGACATGGTCTGGCACGGTGCAGCCGGCCCGCGTGCAACTGCTATCCTGGCAGCGGCACGCAAGAAGAATGAGCCTTGTTTCACCTCAGCACCCGTTTGCGGCGAAGCCTCTGGGCGAGCAGCGGCACGATGTTAACCGCATCGTAACACCTTGTCCTGTGCACCAGCCACAAGCATGCATTTGAAGGTGACCTGTGAGAAGCAGGTGGTTATGAGCAACGTGGCAGGCGAACCTCGTTGCAGTTGCCTTCCGATGCTTTTGGCGGCTCGCTGGGGCCCTTTCCACGACAGATCCCGACCCGACTCCCGGGGACTCGGCTCTGGCCTCTGTGCAGGCTCCGGCGCCTCCTCCTGGCCGCAACGCTCCCTGGCAGTCGGAAGCCGATACATGATTATACGAATATAATATTGATATACATGAACTACTGAATCCAACCCACCTTTCACGCTACAGCACTCTGAAACAACGGCGGAGCCGCCCAAGCCAGACCTTGCGGAGGCACATCTGAATGAAGCGGATCGGTTGCCTCCAATTGCTGAACCTGTGGCGAGCGGCACTTTCCCCGTGGGTTCGAGTGGCCGGGAATTGGGCCCGGGACCGGATGACAGACCCACCCGCCACGACATCGAACCAGTCTTCCGGGCCTCACGACAAGACGAGGTCGCGCAATGCTTGGCCAACACACATGCACCGAATGCCGTCCGAAAGGCACTGAAAGTTCAGGACGAAGAGCGGCCAAACTCCTGCTGGGCGGCGCAGTTGCAGATCCGACAAGCGTCGCAGTGTCGGGGCCAGCAGCAGTTGTTATAAAAAAAACACACGTGCACACCTCAGTACATGAAGAACGGGACGCACATGCAGCCGATCTTTATATGCTTCAACTCGCTTCGACTAGTCGTCTCGCAAAACCCTCGCAGCACTCTCGCGGGACTCTCTCTTCTGCCTTCTTATGGTGTCTGAGGGTGTGATATCGCCAAGTAGCTGTAACAGGGTCCTGCCACTGGAGCCCGCTTAAACACCGCCAACGCACAGCGCTAGCCAACAACTTTGCACCCCCTGTCTCCTCCTGCTGCCACGGCGCTGACCGAGTCGGGGCCCTGGCCAGTGCCTCTCAGTACCACGAAGGGGGTCGGCTCCCTTCACACAGCTACGAGTACCAGCTTCACCGCCGTTGTGAGCAGATTCAACCTAGACTTCTGCTGTGCTGGCTACGAAACAACCTGTTGACAAAACAGCTGAAGACGTTCTGCTGCGAGAAACACGTGCCACGTGCCGAATGTGTCTAAACCCCGAGCCTTCTTGCGCCTGGAGACTTGCGGCCGCGAAGAGTCGCACGATGGACTCGTGTATCGGAGTCGGCTCGACGTAGCGGCCATTTACGTAGAGGTACATGAAGCTGTCGGTGCTCTGAGCATCTTCCAGCTGCGACACGACGCCTCCCGAGGGCTTTGGCAGGAGTCTCACGCACTGCTCAACACTACTCGAACTGCCGTGCGTGCCACAACACAGATTCTACGCAGAGTCACTCTCATGCACTGGACGCATGGCTGCCTCTCCGTTGGACACACACATCTGCACACGAGACAGGTCTACACGCTGCAGATGCTGAGGCCTTCCAGAGCGCAGGCGTCCGAGGCCGAGGACCGCTGCACCCTGCGCTTCAGATGGGAGCCAAGAGAGCTGATCCGATTTTTCTGGCACCTGCGAAGGCCGCGAGTGCAGCCGCATCCCAGCCTTTTTCGGCTTCAAGACGAAAGAATTTTCTCATCATTACGGCCCAAACCCGGGCCATGCACATAGCATCCCGTGAGGACCAGGCACATGCTCTAGTCTTGCTGCGGCCTGCTCTGTGACCAGGTCCAAGCAGTGTGCCTGATGCGTGCAGTATCATGCGGACAACGTCTGCGGCAAGTCTTGCGGCCCGTCCGCGCTCACAATGTACAACACCAGACGCACGCACACATGAGAAAAACAGCTCGAGCAAATACGAAAAACGCGGCACTTGCACAGGCAGCTGTAAAGAGTTCCGTAGCTAACGCTTCGGCAGCGAATCGCCTCTTGGCCGAGGAAGCGGAGCCGCAGCGACACCCGCGGTCGAATCAAGACCTGACAAGCCCGCTACACCAGAAAAGATCAGGAGTCACAACAGGTCTCTTCCACCTCTGGACTCGAAAAGAGAGCAAGTAAGGCCGGGTGTCTATCTCTCTCCCGCTCTGGCTTGCTTGCTGCGGGCGCGCCTTTCGCAGCTGCTCGTCCTTTCGTTCCTCCCTCCCTCCTTGCGGCATGACCCTCTCGCCCTCTCGCGTGTATCTTTCCCATCCGCCCTCGCCAGACAGCTAGTCAGCCGTTTGGATGTGCTGTCCAACCAATTAATCAGTAGGCCGGATGGTAGACCAGGCAATAAAGTCTTGCTGGCAAAGTAGTATCCGATCAAATGACACGGTCACTCCGTCGCTGAAGTACTGTTGAGTCAACGAACGGGATCCGAGTACGATGGTTGGTTGGCTCCGCTTGTCTTGAGTATGCTTTTTCTCCTATCGGCCATGTGGATGCATGGGCCTAGCTTCCCTTTCGTTGGAGACGAGCCTGGCGCTCCAAGCGATGGCGAAGCGATGAGACCTGCTCAGACCGTTCAGACCTCCCCGGCACAAGAAGAGCAAGGCTGCCTAGGCTGCCCAGGCTGCCGAGGCCACGCCAGCCTCAACTTCCCTGATCAGCCTGCCAAGGCCCTCCACCCGGATGGTGGTGCCTGGACCTGCCAGAACAAGAAAGGGCCGTCAAGAAGAAGGGACAACTCCAAGAGCCCGCCTCCGTGCGGCGTATCGGAGGGGCCAAGATAGGTCACCTTCCCCTGCTCGAAGATCTTGCACATGGTCCCCCGTCCCGGGACCTGCAAGTTCTGCAAGGTCTGCAGAAAAAACCCATCTGAAGCTGTGCTCAAAACCCTCCGGGTCTCCTTGGAGCGCACGACCACGCGCCCGCAGCGGGCGCAGACCGCGGCCAGGGAGGTCACGGCGTGCCCACCAAGCGCCTCTGCGCCAAGCGCCTGGAAGGCTCGAAGTTGCCTTCGCTCGTGGCCTCTGAGGCCTTGAGGCCCTGCCGGCGCTGCCTCCATGTCACGTCCAGCACCGTCGTCTCGTACGGTCAGCACAGCACCCACGGAGGACTCCTGGAGCTCGACCTCTGCAAAGACTGCCTGAACCCAGTGGTGCATGGCTACCCCAGGTGACCTCCACTGCCGTGGCGCCAGCATCCAATGAGCCGATCAGCAGCTCCTGCAAGGAAGTCTGAGAAGCTCACGCAAGCGCATCGGTGAAAACGCGGCTCCCAGCATTCTTGCAAGGAGCGCGGCAGAGCCCCGGGTCCCACTTTCAGAATGTCAACTGCAAGGCATGAAAAAGATCTGGATAGCTTCCCGGCGAATGCACGTGCAACTAGAAGCTACCAACAAGGCTTTGTGTTGCCAACACCTGCACATGTCTGACCCTCAGACATCGTGAAGGTGTTAAGACTGTGTAGACTTCCTTGTCTCACAGCTTTCCGGACATCCTACGTCTCTGTTGGCAGAGCACTCCGCAATTACACATGCCGTCGCCTCTGCTATGCGCCCGGGGCAAGGCACCTACCATGCGCACAAGACGATTCCAACTGTCGGCTTGCAAGCCTCCGGGGCGAAGATTCGCGCCGTGCCTGGATGTCTGCACGCAACTTCCTGGGCAGCGTCAAAGACTATCGAGGGAAGAAATATGTCTTCTCTTGGATCTCAGAAATAAACCGTGCACAACCTTGCACACTCGACGCTGCATTTGCTACAGTCTGAGCCGGGAGTCACTGATGCCTGCAGGCTCAGCTTGCGGATTTTTGGGGCAGGAGTTGCCAGCACCATGGTGGACAAGACCCTTTATAACGAGGACAGTCAACAGAACGGCTCTTGTTGTGGAAGTGCG